CCGTAAGTCAATGGTCAGCAAACTATGGCCCACAGGATTCATTTTATAAATTACATATAATTAAGATAAATATCAAATATTTAGACTTCAATTTACTTTTTATTTTAGTAACTCTGCCAAAATATATATATAAGAATAGTTCATGTATTAGAAATTATACATATTCTATTTTACAAAACAAATATCTTTTCCTAGTAGATGATTAATGAAACATTTTAATAAATAAGCTAATATAATCCCTCTGCAAAACAAAACAAAACAAAACAAAACAAAAACTGCCTCAGTATTGGTTTTAGCAGAAATAACTTAGGGAAATGAACTAGTTATACGATCTTCTAGAATTTTCTATAAGGAAATAATATAATTTGTTTTCTTAAACATACAGAACCCATCCTATAGTTCAAAATTCCTGGAAGTTAATAGAAGAATTAAATATTTGATTATAACTTAAAAATCACTTTCCCATGCTAGAAAAGCACTTACTGATATACTGAGACCTGCATACGAATTAAGATAAATATACAGATATTATACTAAGTTTCAGAATCTTATTAAATAAATAATTATATTCATTATATTCAAAAATTAAATGAGATTAAGTTTCACAGTCATCAACACTTGCCTTTCTCTGATTTTGGACAATAAACATGTGAGTATAAATTTCAAAATATGTTATTTTCATGGTACACTGTAGACAAAAACAGGTGACAGCATCCTGAGAATACTAAAGTATGATCAGTGTTACGAGGTAAACAAAACTAAAGCAAAAACAAAACAGCATGCTGGGAGGCCAAGGCAGGAAGATCGCTTGAGGTCAGGAGTTCAAGACCAGCCTCAGCAAGAGCGAGACCCTGTCTCTATTAAAAATAGAAAAATTAGGCAGGTGTGGTGGCCTGTGCCTGTAATCCCAGCTACAGGAGACTAAGGCAGGAGAATCCCTTGAGCCCAGGACTTTGAGGTTGCTGTGAGCTAGGCTGACCTCATGGCACTGTAGCCCAGGTAACAGAGCAAGACTCCGTCTCAAAAAAAAAAATTATTAATAATTTTTCCAAATCTCTTAACTATATATTCTGATAATAAAAAGTAATACTAAAAAATTAAGGTTTTGTCATCATTCTAGGACAGAAAAAGAAAAGGTTGCTCTTCTTTCTTATGATTATGAAACTACTAGGAGAGCCAGAAATGGCAGCATCCATTACTTTTCTGGGGCAGAGAAAACTAAACCGTATAGGACACTGAATTAAATTCTAAACATTCAGTGTTCTGGATGGTTGACCATGGTGGTCTACTTAAAATCACAAAGTGATTACGAAATTTGTGGTTAATCCATGTTCTTTGCTTTTCTTCATTTTTTCCTGCAAATTCTTCACTTCATTTATGACCAACTTAAACCATACAGCAGAGAATAAATGAGAGGGTTCAACCGACTAGTCATAGAAACATTAGCTCAAAAAATCAACAACAACAAACATAATGCTCCTTCCCAAAACCAAATTTGGTCAAACTACATGCTAAGAGATCTAAATTTTTTTCCCAAAGTTAAAACTATTGGTTTAATTTAGAGATTTGAAACTTTTTCTGTAATTTATTTTTTATGCTACATATGATTTTAAATAATCTAGGCAAAACTGAAATTCCAACAAGGTAATGTTTCTTCAAGAGTATTAAGTTCAAGGTGCTGACTATCAATATAAACAATGTATAACTGTATTCTTTTTTGTTAATGTTTCCATTAAAATATTTCCTTGTAAGTAAGATTAATCTAAGTAGTTCAAAATCTTCTCCCTGCTGATGATATTAGAACAGCAATACATCAGTGTTACCTCCAGTATAGACTATTATATTTATCTAAGGTTCCAGGGCAGAAAATAGACATTTCTATGCCAATCCCATGCCATGGAAGTAGCAGACAAAAAGATTATACCATTTTAGTATTTTGTTATCAAAATGAATCACCCATACTTTTCTCAAATATTTTAAACATCAGAGTTCTGAATAATGGCAGGTTTATTTTATAAACAGGAAGACTATTCTATCATTATACAAATAAATCCAAAAGGAACAAAATATAATTCCCAAAGGAACTCGAGAAAGAAAACTTTCATTGAGAGTCTTCTCCATCTAGTACATTCTACATATATTACCTAACACACTCCCTGTGGGATAAGTATAATTAACACCGTTCAGTAAAGGAAGAAACTGAGGTTGAAGTCCTATCTAGTAAAATACAGATCTGTCTTATGCTAAAGCCTACATACCTTCCATTAAATCATAATGACTTCAAAAAGGTCATATACGAGTCTCATTGATATTGTGAAACAAGGTTGTTTCAGATGAAAAAGAGTAAATTATCTGAGATTCACATTTCCTCTGAGAAACAGAAAAGACACATTCCCGGGTTGAGCTTTGTGTCTTTTTTTAAAATGTGGAACTGTAGCATTCTACCTATCCTTTCAAAATTTAATGCAGTTCGACATTAGAAATATCAAATGACAAAAAAATTAGTATGGTGAGTGTGAAAAGTTACATATGTTCTAATAGACCACAATGTCCACAACATTCAGTAAAACTGTCTTAAAAAATTAAACTTTAATAAATGGTCAGTAAGTCAAATTTACAAATCAAATTCTTGTTTAATAGAAAAGAATGAATTTGTCTTAAGTCCTAACTACTGAATTTTCAAAGGTCTGTAATAAGTAATACAGTTTTCACATGAAATCATCACAGTATGACATTATTTTATGAGGAGCATATGCCGTAAGTCAATGGTCAGCAAACTATGGCCCACAGGTCAAGTCGACCCCACTACCTTTTTTTTTATAAAGTTTTACTGAAACACATGCATGTCTATTTGCTTATGTATTGTCTATGGCTGTTTTTGCACTACAACAGCAGAGGGGAACAGCTCGGACAAATACCATACGGCCTATAAAACCTAAAATATTTACTGTGTGGCCTCACACAGAAAAAGTTTGCCAACCACTGTCATAAGCCATCATTACTTATATTTGTTCATAAAATAAATATCTGCATATTAATACATGAATATTTTGAAAAACTCTATAATATATCTAAACAAAATTACTAGATCACTCAAATATTAATTTCAAATGTTTCCATCTCTCTTCATATACCTAGGATTGAAATTCTAATGGCATCTACAAAAAAATGTTTCCCATTGGTAACCTGTATGTTACCAATGTATCCTTTTTCATTTATCCCTTCCAAAATTCTCTTCTGGCTTTTTACATTTTAAATATAATTTCAAAAAGCCCACATTATCAGTTCTAAGTTCTTTCTTTACTCAACCTCCTCCTTCCTAACTTTCCCCCTCTACTACACTACAATTTCCAGCAAGAATATTATACAATTCGATAACACATAAACAATACTCAGTAGTCAGCACCAATCTTGTTTTTACTAGACATGAAGTGGGAGAAAGGTACTGGCTCTTTCTTTTAAGGAAGCAATTCACTCAAAGAATATAAAATCAGGTATATTGTACAAGCAGGCATAGGTACAATCAGTTAATGGACCAAAATAACTAAATATAAAATGAGAGACATAAATAAAGTTTTCTATAGTTGAATGAATTCCCAAGTCTCTTGAGAACGACTTAGGCAGTAAGTATTTAATAGTTTCAAATTCCAGTCTATAGTGGTCAAAATTGCATAGTAATGATTTTGGGAGTCCAACCTCAAAATGTCAGTATCTCTATTGTACATTCATTATAAAATAAAAAATAAGCAAATTTGGGTGGTGAATTACTATATAAATCATAATGTTTATAAATTAATTCATTAATTTAGCATTATCTCTATCTTGATAGTTAAAGATCTTTTGGCTTTAAAATTTAGAAGACTATTTAGTAATGTGAATGTTTCAGACCTATACAAATTTTAATAACTTATTGCTAAGCTGTTTATATAAAGATCAGTTTTTGCTCAGCACAAAATTTTAAAACATTCAATATTACATTTCAAAGTGAATTTTAATACAACCATTTAAGATTTCTTGACAATAAATGGTAATTTATAAGACATAAAACAAAATTTATCTGATCAAGAAAAATGCCAAACAAAAGCATTGATTTATTCAGTTTTTAATGTATAAAAGAAAAAAATGCCTTCCATGTCTCAATATCAGAATGCATTTTTTAAATAATGCATAATTCTCAATTTACCAGAATTTGGTACAAATCACGAGAGGAAAACAGATTAAGGAGAAGGAATGAAATATGAATCTCAGGATACCTGCTCTCTTTACACACCATCCACTGTTTATACTGCTCTTTCTGGCTCCACTTTCTTGCTTCAGCTGCTAATTTGATTAATGCCCTAATGATGACCTGCTCTGTTGCACCCCCTCCTAAACTAGCCTGCTTGCCTTTGTCCTCATTAGTAAACTCATGGATAAAATAGAGATGTATGTGCCTGGAGCAGGTGTGTGAGGATACAAAGTGTTGCTGCTAAGTGTTGTTGCTAAGTGTCAATGTTGCTCTGGAGGTAGTGGTATTGACAAAGGCTAGTAAGAAAAAGGGTCATGTAAAAAGCTTGTTAAAATAAAGTTGGAGATCAATTTGGGAACACTGTTTCACCAAGTAATAGACATCTTAACAAAACGGCAGATTTATCTCTGGCAAAAGTATACTTTCTGGGCTTAAGGATAAGTTTCCAATATGGTGGTGAGAACACAGGTAATATGGAAAGCACAGTTCTATATTCTTTCCCATCTGAGCAAGTAGCTATGGAGTCTGTTTTGGTATGAATCAAATATATTTTAAAATAACAACTAATATATAAAGTTAACATTGATCTATTGTATTTTAAATGATATACATAATTCACATTAAATGCCTTTCAAATGTATTCTTTTAATACATTTCAATGTTTTATAAAGAAACAAATAAAGACAAGGCTAGATCTATAAAAAATAAATTTTGAACCAGTAAATAGTCAAATGAAAATGTTAAATAGCAAGGATTTTAATAGTTTATTATACTATAGATTTGAAAAGGTAAGCAATATATAGAAAATAAAGTTAAATCTTTTATAGTTACAGCTCTTTCCAAGAAGTAATCATCAGAATTACCAGACATAAGCATATACAGCTGGAACCCAACATGGATAAATAAAAGAGGTAGAAACATAAATTTAAATGGTTAAAAGTTCTCTTAATAGAACAGGTCTGGTTAAAATCCACGTTTTTACAGTACAGAACACCACTGAAATGCTAAGGTCACGTAATTATAAAGTATAACCACTAGATGGAGGCAAAGTACTTACAGTTGGTGATGTAGCAGCAGAGAGCAAAGGTAAAATCCCTCCACAAGCAATGATGATGTTGTCTACCATTTGGGAAATGAGGTGAATTGTGTTATGTACAAAAATAATATTTTCATTGCTATTGACGAAATCCATTACAGACTTTGTGGAGTGGCTAAAATAACATAAAAACAAAACAAGTGAACATTTACTTGGCTTACAAATAAGAGGTTCACACTTATTTAGAATAACATTTTTAAAGTGAAAAATAATTATAGTATATTGAGAAGAGCTAGAAAAATTTGAAGTGAAGGTATTAGAAAACAATTTGTAACTGATGTGTCATATTACCAAAAATTAAGCATTTGTCTCTGCAGGGTTTCTTATGCCCAACTGTATTAACTCATTATTTTGTCTCTGCTTGAAAAATACAGTATTAACTAGATTCTTAGACATATGGCTAGGTCAATGAATTTGGCTAAAATACTTATTTTTGCCAAAGCTGGTTGTTTTGTGTTGAACGGCAAAACCTTTTAAATATACAAAGGGTATGTCTAATGTTAAAGATAATATGGAAACTCAAAATATAACCAAAAGAAAAATTTCATAAATAAGTAAAAATAAAATTTGAAGTGAAAAACCTGAAAAGTTAACTGAAAGTTTCATTTTTAGGCAGTTTCAATTTGTCATATCACCAATGACTGCAGCCCCACCTTTGATCACCCATGTGAAAAATGTATCCTGCTAGTCACAAAAGTGACATAATAGGGAGTATAAATAAATCAGTAAAAATTCAAGAACTTATTACATTAAAAAAGGGAAAAAGATCTCAAAGTAGGTTGGCAGTGAGGCTTTCCCATACAAAACATGCAACGTAGACTCCAAAAAAAAAAACACTGCTTTCATTTGGTGTCAGTCAACAACATGAAATGTTTTCTAACGGGAAAAAATGAAAAAGGAGATTACCCTATGATCAAATTTGAATCAATGATTCTCACTTTCTTAGAGTTGTGAAATACTATCTATTATTGTTTCTTAGATTTAAAGACATTTTCTCCTATCCTAAAAATAAGGTTCTATCTTTAAAAAATTTAAATTACATTAAATTCTATTTGGGAAATTTCTTGAGAGCTTATGAAAGAAAACAAAGAGACATAGTATGTGGA